TATGTGTTGGCCGTCATCGATGATGTAATCAAAAAGCTAAAGACTGCAATACTTGGGTTGAAATCTGTGAGCTTCAGACAGGACAACGCTGGTTGCTACCACAGCGCTGCTACCATACTTGGGATACATCAACTCGCCGTAAAGCACAATGTGTGCGTGCAAATGGATTTTTCTGATCCTCAAGGCGGGAAGGGACCATGTGATCGCAAAGCTGCTTCTATAAAGAATCATATGCGTTCATGCCTCAACTCTGGCCATGACATCTCGTCTGCACAAGACTCATATGAAATCAGCTATTGAGTCCAATCGCGGTGTACGTGGTGTTGCGACTATACTGTGTGGTCCTCTAACCATCCCTAACCCTAGTCCTTTTCCAAAATGGGAAGGTGTTAGCCTTATCAATGACATCCAATTCAAGACCGAGGAGATGAAGGTTTGGAGAGCTTATGATGTTGGACATGGTAAAAGCGTTCCCTATAGCAATTTCACTCAAACGAAGAAGACTGAACTTCCATCGCTTACCAAGATTACCGATGTCCCCAGCACTAATCTTGTATTCTGTGAAGTCATGCCAAGGAAATGTCATGTCGCCAAAGACAAAGACATGAAGACATCCGCCGACGACAACAGCAGCGACACAGACGAGGATATGCTTTTCACCTGTCCAGAAGATGGATGTGTGAAAACCTTCCAACGGTTTTCATCCCTCCGGAAACATCTGGATGGAGGCAGGCACAAGTACGCCCTTGAGAGGGAGTCATTCCTTGATAAAGCAATGCTACGCTATGCTGAAAATCTAGGAAGTGGGGCTGCATCCATAGTAGGGCAAGTTGAGCAGATTGCTGAAGAATCAAAGGTGCCTTCGATAAAGATGGGATGGGCGCTAAAACGTGTTTCCACAAGTCGACACCGTTTCAATGAGAAGCAAAAAAGTACCTCATCGACATATTTCTTCTTGGCGAGCAGACAGGGCAAAAAGCAGATGCTAGTGATGTCTCAAAATCGATGAGAAAAGCGCGCAATGCAGATGGTTCTCTTCTTTTCCTGTCTAATGAATACCTGACATCACAGCAGATTACCAGCTTCTTTTCCCGTACAGCCGCCAAGAAATCGATTCAAGTTACATCAGCTTCGAATCTTGACCTCGATGATGACGATGACCTTGATGACTTGGTCTCCGCCATGGCAGAGAAAGAGCTTCAGCAAATGCGTGAAGAAATATTGAATGATATTTCTATCCAACACCCAATCACATACGAATCCTATAACATATGCGAAATGGCCACCGCGTCCAAGCTTTCAAAGTTTTCTATGGCAATGTTACAGGAAATCTGCAAGCACTACGAACTTGACACTTCAAGTATAAAGCAGAAAAGGAAGCAGCCATACATAGACTTGCTGGATGAATTGGTAGAGTCGTGCACATGTTAAATTATTACTATTTTGAATTTTTTAAGAGTGTTTACCACTTCTTTATCATGACATCTTAAGTTAATGAAAATGGTCGCACCATTAAAGTGAATTAAAAAGACATGCACAATAAAGTAAAACAGCCGGATCACAGGTGTTATGTACACTATTACAGTAAATACATGAATGTACAATAACGGCTTATAATTGTTGACCAGAAAGAGAAAGTATTAAACAAATCACACAAAAATTTTAAATTAGAAATTCATATAAAGTCTCTTTTCATTCAAAATATGACGATATTAAGAATGTAACAAATTTAGGTTGGGCTGGCGGTTGGGGTGACGTGCTGGGATTAGGGAAAATGTCGGCATATATTTCGTGAAGACAAGATAAAGTACATACCTCTGTGGAGGATCGCGGGCTCGGCACTTGCGGTGATCATTTATGTTCTTGATTGTTTTGAAAACTTGCAACAGTATATAAAGCCCAGAAGATCCATAAAATGCAACTTTAACAAGTAAACAGGTATGGATTGCATAAAACTTACATTCGTTTACATTTTATTTTTCGTTTGAACCTGTTTCATTGATTTGCAATTCAAAATAAACATGTATTACGTGCTTTGACCTCAAAGGTCATAGGACTGACAGGAGTACAATTTTATCACAGTTTGATAGCCTGAAACGTCACACAGATATTTGCCCAAAGATTCCTTTGCATCCGTTCAAAGACCTTTATTGCAACATTCATTCTCCGGAGTTTCGAATGATTTAAAGATTCGCTGCAAGACTTTTTATAAGACACATTTTTATCGATACAAAATATGGGCATCGAGAATAAAATTGTTTGGAAAGTATAGAATTGCATTATTGACCCCATACTTGGGAAAATGATAGTCAAATGATTATTTAACAAGAATTTGGAGTTATATTTGATGTGGAGTGCTCTAATTGTCCATACAAGCCCACCAAATTGAAGCCAAAAATCATCTGTCGAAGAAGCATTTTCGGTGGTGTTCGATAATTTGCATATTTCTCCAAAATACTTTGATATTTAACCAAACCAACTATACTGTGGTTCTTAGGAAACATTACCCTTCCGGACTTGAAAGTATGAGGGATATCGATTTTTCAAAGTTTGCCACCACTTGTTTGATTTTTAGAGATATCTACTCTTAAGTTTGTTATTATTCAGATTAGATATTAGATTATTTAATAGTATTATTATTTAGACCACTATATTTACTAGTCAACTATCTAGTGAGTTAGTTTGTGACGGTTACGGCATAATATCATACAGTTGTTTTACGATCACTAAATGGAATTATTTGTGAAATGACATCTTTAATTAGGAATTCAATGGAAGATAGACCATGTTGCTCATCAGGACGACGATGATATGTTAAATGATGATGGGGTATGTACATGAACTGTGTGACATGGTAAATGCATCAGTTATTTGTCATGACGCTATTTAATTGTATTTACCCATATACGCAGCAAAGGCCCTTACTGTATAGTGTGTCTTGTCTAACAAAATTTACTTGTTAACAAGAGTTTGTGCCATTAATGGATTACTTAACCCATTTAGTGGCAGAGGTCTTCCCTTAATGAGTAAAGTCTGGTGTTAGACACAGCAAAATAATAAAGTATGTAGAGTGCATAAAGGACACATGTAACTTATGGGTGAACTACATTTTATTCAATGGGAGGCACTGATTATTGTCAATGCTAGACACACATTGTTTCAGATTTTTATATATGTACATAGATCAAGTTATTGTTCCTTCAGTGTATTAATTGTTTCTGTACAGCATTATTGAGTGCACAGTAATTGTCAGTGCCATTACTAATGTTATACATATTAATCTTGTTTGAGGTTCCTGACATCAGAATGTCAATTGTCTTACCTCAACTGAAGCAAATTTTTCCAGGCCATGAGGATTCCCAGCTTCAATCGGCTTTAGAAAATGCTAATTTCAACTTGACTAGTGCAACAGAGATTATTTTAGGACAAGGAGGTTAGCTTTTATAATTTAATTTGAAAATCTAAAAATAGTATACAAAACTCTGTATAAACCCTCGTGCTACCCTACGAGGTGCATTCCATGTTAATTGTTGATGCTATGGTTTTAGATTCTGTAAATATCAGTTCATCAGACTCAAGTGACGTGGAGGCAGCACTAGACAGCAATCTCCTTACTCCAATTGTTTTGCATGAAGATAGAGAAGTCTGATGACACTACAGCTTCACTACCCAACAAAATAAGGTTATGCAAAGAAAACACAATTGCTGCCAATTCACCTCGTCAGTTGTTCTGTGTATACAGAAGTGAAGGTGTTGAACAATTAAAGCTTGACATCTTGGGTGTACACAAGGAGTGGGAGCAGGCCCTGTCAGGGAATTTCTATTCTCAGCAGTTAAGCTTGTAGAAGATGGCATTGATATCCCCATGAAGCCAATCATTTATTTTGAAGGCCAAGATGACCATAAAGTTCCTGTCCACAACCAAGCTCTAAGGCAAACAGGAAGCTTTAAAGCAATTGGACGGATCCTTGCTCCGGCATTCCTGCACAATGGCCCATGTTTGGGAGGTCTGTCCCCAGCAGTGAAACATTACTTTACATGCAAACAAGGTCAAGACACAACAGTGAACCCACCACCACTGGAGATAATGGATGTTCCGGATGTTGAGCTTCAAGCAATGTTAGAAGTAAGTTACTGTAACTAAACTTACTATAATTTATGGATTCATCATTTGTGAGGACAGGGGATTGGCAAATGGGGGGTTTAAAATTTTCGATCTGTCAAGTCCCCCATCCCATTTGCCAATGCCCCTCCCTATAAATAATGACCACTCCCTTACAAGCAACAGATACCCTGGAAAAAATTCGGTCAACATGTACTGTAGCCCTATTCCCTAATGTAAAGGTTTTATTTAGGGTTACATAGTACTTGAAGATTCTTAAAATTCGTGTTGAAATCCTAAAACAATGGTACCAGTAACCCTTGAACTCTATCGTATAATTATTTGGAAAAAAGAACAATATGGTGACAGTACACATTTAAGATGTACAATAAAAGGCATAACTCTGAAATAACCTCCTCCTCCACAGGCCGTAATGAATTCCCTAATTTTGTAAGGCAGAGTATGCCCATTTGCAGGTCTGGCCAGAAGTTTGAATATTGGTACTCTTAAAATTTAATAATATAGGTATATTATAATTTTTCTCATAGGTACTGCAGTCACCCAGGCATGAATCTTTACCAAATAGTCTTGTCTCAAATCTGGTTCCATACCTTATCAAGGCTGGTATTGATATAGAAGGGAAATTGTCTAGCAGGGAAATTGTTGTTCAAGGCCTTCTTCTGTTTTTTGTTATTGAAAAGAGAAAGTTGGAACTTGATGACATTTCAACTGGTATGTTAAATGCAATCAGATATCCTATTAACCTATCATACTTGCTTGAGGAGAAAAGTATTTGAGATTACACAGGGTTATTGTACAGTAACAACAAATGACTCTATGTATCACTGGAGGATTCTTGTATATACATACCATTGGTTAACCATAGCTATCAAAGGGGAGAGGGCCATGGTGGGAATTTGCCTCTTCTCTGAAAGATCCCTGGGAACATTTTACCCTTGGATTTGCAACATATTTCAAGGCAATGAATTCAATTGAATGTATTTATGACTTTTAGACTTCTCTTCTTCTTTAAGGATGACTTCCCAGGTCGAACTATCATGTCGCACCCTCCATGTCTTGTCACTCCGTGTCGCACCCTCCATGTCTTGTCAAATTTTTGTGCATTTACCTTTTACAGATGGTGCAGAACTAGTCGATTTGTGCTGCTTCTGAACTGGAAATAATATGTTACCTCCTCGATCACAAAGGTTGTATGTTTCCTTCGACAAAGATGGTAGCATTGTACTGCCTATGGCTGAGTGCTGCTTTTTTAGTTTGGTGTTGCCAGTGAAACATACAAATTTTGAAGAGTTCACAGAGTTTATGGACAAGGCTCTAAAGTATGGTTCGAGTGGGTTTTGTTTTTCATGTCTTCAAACGACATACCTCATAATGCACATATACTTTGCTAGTGACAGATTATTTCTAAATGTTATGTTCTTGTTTTTGTTGTTAATTAGTTTTTATGTTAAGATCAGGTTTTAAATTAAGGTGGCTACCTACACTTTTTAAAAAATGGAAGATTTTCTGATTTGGACATGAATTTCTGGACATTAATTATTTGTTGAAAAACAAAGAGTATTTGACTTGAATAAAGCAATAACTAAGGAGTTCGGAGATTTTAAAAATGTCCTCCTAACAGCCGTTTCTATGGCAACAATGACGTTTCAATATAGCAGATATTTTTGGTTTAAAGGGAATGTTCATTTAATATGACAAGGGGGGGAGTGAAGATTCTGAGGGGGGGAGGGGCATTAGAAAAAATTTAGTGCAGCAAGGGGGGGCTTTAAAATGTTTGAGGTTACGTAGGGGGGGGGCTCTTGTTTTTCCAACTACTTTAACTACTTATTTCCAGTTAATATGTGATACTGTATTTTGAATGTTTAGGTCTATTTAAAGACAGTATTAAATAAAACTGATTAAGGAGTGACAGGTTATATTTAATAGTCACTATCTTCATCCATTTCAAAGCTGTCAGACTCATCATCTCCAGGCTCTGTAATCTCGTCATCCACTTCAGAGCCATCTGAGAGTTCACTTTCAGACTCCAGGCTGGTCCTTTCCTCCTGACTCTTTACTGTGGTGGCCTTTTTGGCTGTTGCTCTTCTTGCCAGAAGTATATCTAAAAGTCTTTCTGCTTCTTCCATGTCATCAACTGTGCCTTGAGCAATCAAGTATTCGATGGCTTTCATGTGGAATCTGGGTAGGAGCTGTATACTCCCCAGTTTTTGTGTGCTAACGTTTTGAGTGTTTCCTTTTATAAGAAAGGCATCAGCAAATTCTTTTCCATGTATTTTCAATATAAGCTTGTAAGCTTGTTTCTTTCCCATGTTCGTTTGTCTTTGACAAGCTTTTCCCCTTTGCTCCTTTCTTCTCCTGGTTATCCTCTTCCTTTCTCCTGAAACTGTATCCTTATGGAAGCGGGCACTTAAAAGCTGCCAGGTGTTAGTGATGGAAGAGTGAAGACAAATGAGATTCTTGTTAAGCTTTTCAAGATGCTGAGTAATATAGGAAATTTCATCGCCTGCCCACTGCTTAGGTACATGATTACAATCATACAGTTCATTATTACGCTCTTGCATCAGGTACATGGGCCAATGAAACTGAGGAACTGAGAACTAAGCTTCCAGATAAGTTTGAAGTTGCTAACGAGAACGATCCCAAATATTCCGCAGAGTTTAGAGGCACTTGTGCCCGTGTGCATGATGACACAAAACCTTTTGTGGAAATGACAAATGCAGATGACTTAGCAAATGTAACCTCTTGCAAATTTCCCGAAAACCCGTATTGTCAGTACGAGAAAGAGAGACTCTCGCATTTAATGATTCGCTTGGAATCATCCTTGTCTTTGTGTGGTCGCTTCAATCTAAATGAAGCTGAGTTAAAGCTACTTGCAACAGCAATGATCCCTATAAAGTTGACTGATATAATTGATACTGCTAAAGCTCTGCGCGACAATTTCCCTTCAGATGCACATCAGGTGCAGCCGAAATAGGATGCTCTTTTGAAAAAATGCCATTCTCTTCTTCAGGGGATTGCAGAGCTGAAGTTTCCGCCTGTGAAACCAAGATGGGCGGATTTTACCGACACTGGACCTGGAGTTGCTTGTAACAATTTCGAAGTACAGTTCAGGGATGCTGAGTTAGCGATTATCCATAACAGTGACTATTGGATCAGACTGCATTCTTCCAGGGGTAATTTGTCTGATAACGAGGCCGAGAGAACTAACAGCGCAATCGGCGACAGTATCGTAGATGGCGCAACACTCCAGTGGAACAAACATAAACGCTTTGATGGACTAAGTGACGAAGATATAAGTAAACTGATGGTGAAAGAGTTCAAAGAACACGAGACGGATAGAATGGAGAAGAATGCGTGGTACTGTGCTAATGAAATTCGCAATAGGGTTGATGGGGCACCAGTGTTTAACGAGTTTATTAAATGTTATTTAACTCCAAAGCAAAGCCCTTTCTTTTTCAACAAAAAAATACTTAAAACAATTTCAAAGTTGTACTGCCACTGAGTCAAAACAACAGGTTCCTGGTTACCACTACATAACAAATGTTTTAAACTTTATTGAAAGACACTACAGAATTGGTGAACTATATATGGAATATATAAGGGACGGATGTCGGGAAAATGGTGAGGTATGCAAGAAATGTAGTGAAAAGGACTGGGTTGGACCCAGGTTCTCCAGAGTCCCTGCCCTGTATCCAGATCCTGATAAGCCAGGGCATTATATGAGTGTTTTCAACACACTAACCACAGACAATAACAGGCAGTTAAGGGAAGTGGATGATGTCGCTCCCAGGGCAGTGATAAAGCGTCTATATAAAGCTGGCACGATCTCATCGGACAATGTCGAACAACTTAAAGACGTATCCAGTCGCTATTGTGTTGAAGAGAAGGATGTCGCATCATATGTTAAACACCTTGAAGGGTTGAAAATGATGTCTGCTATCAGGGAAAACGAAAGAAGAAAAAAACGAGAAAAAGAGTGCAGCAAAACTTATGAGGACTACGATTGGAATACCCTCATTGATTCAGGAAAACTAAATTCATTAAAAGTGATGGAACTTGACAAGTACCTTAAGAGACACGACCTGTCCACTATCGGAAAAAAAGAGGATAAAATCAAACAAATTAAAGCAGATTTCTACATAAATAGGACCAACGAC